TAAGTAGCCAGTACTATATATTAAAGTTAAATATTTAGGTAGCTAGCTAAATATTTAAGTAGCCAGTTAAATATTTAAGTTAAATATTTAGGTAGCTAGCTAAATATTTAAGTTGTTACTATATATTAAAGTTAAATATTTAGGTAGCTAGCTAAATATTTAAGCTTCAAGCTAAATATTTAGCTCAAAACTAAATATTTAAGCCACAAGTTAAATATTTAGCTTGTTAACTAAATATTTAATTTTTATTTTATAAACTACGCCATTTATAGATGTATGAATCATATGGTGAAAAACTGACTTTGAAAAATAAATCTATTCTTTTTATCTTATAAAAGGCTAAATAAAACAAACATTGGTGGTAATTTTTGACGGTGTAACTTTACAAAGGGAACCCCATAAATGCTGGGAGAGTTTTATTTTGAAATCTGGCAGGAAGTGAGCTTGGTTTTGACTGTTAATCAGTTTAACTTCACTGAACCTGAGCGAGAGGCTTGCAGCTGCTCATCAGTGGAGCAGTAACAGCATCACAGAGAAGTTGCTGCTGTCGTTTCATAATTTGTTTACATCTGGGACTCAAGAAGTGTTTTTTTATGTTCTGACAGAGAGAAGAACACAGACTGTGGAGAAACAAATCTGCCTGGGGATGTTAGCTGAGTGATGAGCAAAAGGTGAGCGATAAACATTCACGTTTAATATGTTTTTATGCTTTTAAATCAAGCTTTTTATAAATGACTCCTAACAGAATCTATTATCACAACAAAAATTATGTCTACGTTGTAATATTTATTATTTTGTTCAATCACTTTTTCTGTTTATATGACAAGAAACCTTAAAACAAGCTATAAGATCAACTTTATGCATATCAACTCAATTTCCTCCACAACAACATTACATAAAAGTATTTCTTCACATAAAATCATTCATAAAAATGGATTTATCAACACATTAATACTGACCCATTCACATGCATTTTCATAGAAAATAATGCAGAGAGGTCAGTTAGTGGTTCAATTTGTTGTGTCACGTTGATCTGTACATAAAAACTCAGTGTACAAATGAGCTTTTCTTCCTCCACTGTATTTATTAAAATGGCACTATTGACCAGTTTGACATCAGATAAAAAAACATGTTTTTATGGTAAATAAAGAGTGGATTAGTAGATTTATTCAGTGCATATTTTCAGAATTAAGTTTAATAAGGAGATATTTTCTCTAATGCGATGATGACTGGTCAGCTGCTGAAGCTGTTTAAGCCCATGTCTCCACTAACTCCCCCCCATTAGGGATTTGGAAGAGGTGGTTCAGCAGTTACACAGCAGATAATTCATCATATGTGCTGCAGCTATTAGAGCGAACAAAGGCACTTTTCAAAACCATGTTTGTAAGAAGTCTTTCTGCCTTCTGACATTTTCACATGAGATATCCAAGATAAAATATCATTTAAGTGAATTGCACCGATTATTCCTCGGTCACAGTTTCTGCTTTGGGTCAGCTGTTGTGATGCATCTTGACGGTGTGCATTGCCAATGCAATGCACAATATTGTGTTTCGTTTCCCATCCAAGTCATCTCAACTTTGCCATGCTTCTCCTCCTGCATACTTTGTCCTAGAGCTGCCATTGTAATTTATATCTG